TAAAAAGGGTCGTTTTTCCCATCTCTAAGCCATAATTCTTCTGAATTGTACAAAACCAGCGAGAGTAGGCGGACCAGGATGAGGCAGACAAGACCAAAATACAAGTTCCTCACTTGTCATACGTCAACACAATGTTTCACAGTTAACAAAAATATCAGCCCATACGTAATTTCCAACACAATTTTATTGTTTATTGCCCATGGCTCAAAATGTTTACATAAAATAAGTTAAAAAATAATGTGATTAGTGACCGTTAATCGATAATTATTCAGAAATCGTGAGATGCGGTCTGGTGTGATGTAGGTTTCAGAAAAACATTTTCTTTATCGTGCCAACGTTTCGATCTTTATTGAGATCATCTTCAGGCCTGGGAATTACAAACATTGTTTACATTTAACAAATACATTTAGGATGTGAAAAAGTGAAGTTATATTCACACGACACGCAAGAATGGCACAATTACACATAAGACAAACACTTTGAGTGAATAGAAATACTTTGATTGAATAAAAAAATATATTTTGCATTGTATAAATTCACTTTTTCACATCCTAAATGTATTTTTTAAATGTAAACAATGTTTGTAAATCCTGAAGACCTGAAGATGATCTCAATAAAGATCGAAACGTTGGCACGATAAAGAAAATGTTTTTCTGAAACCTACATCACACCAGACCGCATCTCACGATTTCTGAATAATTAAAAAATAATATTTCCGAAGATTTTAATTGTTACCCTTTCGCTTTGGGTGCTCAAAAATGTAAGGTTTGTGGGTTTTAACTACCCAATATTTAATATTTTTGCTATCTGCATAGGTGTATAATCACTAGTAGGATAAAAGAGGTTATTTTAGCTTGTTGAAAAGGATTTTTAATTAATACCAAATTTTACTGTCACTTCTGTTAATAAACATAAACATTTAAAAAGGACATATTAGAAAGCGCAAGGTCATATAACCGATCGACATTGGCATTTTTATTTTACGTTTTATAACGTCATATTATTAAAACGAGACATATAAAAATAAGGCCCATTTTGCTGTAATTACCATACAAATTAAGACGCATTAGGATAAACAAAACTCCCCTGGCTTATCATACGTTAATCCGGATTTTTACTCGCTCGTTCGGCTAATGAGGAGGCTCCGGCCGGTATAGCTTATGGCCTCGTGAGAATATTAATTCGGCCATAAACGTGGTCCGAGGAGGTTTCTCAGCCAATTAGGAGGTCGTCTAAGTGAAATATCTGCTTCCAGCCACCGGGGACAAAAAGCCGAGAAAAGTTTTACCTTTTTTCCACGGGCTGAACAAATACACAGATTTACCGTCGTCCTTCCTAATGAGACGAGAGCCGCTACCTGATCCCAACTCGCTTTCCGATTTATAACATTTTTTCCCCCCTTCCGGAATTTTCTTCCGAGCCGGCCAGTTAAGATAAAGCTTCGAATTTGAATATCGCCCTCGCCCATTTCAGTATTTTATTGTTTTGGCTAATGAGGCCAAATATTGGCTGACAGCTTGCAGGATCGTTCACACTCCATAATATAAAAGCACTGAGTGTAAATAAAAGAGCCAAGTTTTTTCTTCCACAGTTTTAATAAACAACAACACATAAAAAAATAAATATTCCTATTATTGTACCTTGTGTAAAAATGAACATAGTTAAGAACTTCACATTCCTTGGTCGTAAAAGTGTCTCAAATTTCTCTGTAAAAAATTTAACATTATTTTAAAAATTGTAACAAATAAATATGTAAGTATTTAGTTTTAAAATGGCCTGTGGTATTTTGTTCGCGCTCGTTGGAAAACGTGTTCTGTTGTTAGGTCGATGTCAACGATTACAGACTTGCGAAGTCTATGCATAAAATATTAATTAATTTCCTAGTATAACAGGAGGTTTATTATCGAAGTTGACCGTTTAAACTGATCAATTTCTGCAAACTATGAATATAGATTGGCATTATACAAAGTTGTCCGCCGATATATCGTCCCTGGTCCGCTTATCATCGCTGTACTCCTTTTTCTCTGAAGACGTCAAACGTTTATGGCGAAATTCCGATGCACTTGTCAGAACAAGTCAACAACCTAGGCGAGAATTTCAAATATATAGTTTCATATAGAAAATAGGTTTATCACTTTTCCTACCGGACTTATATTCAAATCATGAACAGTTTGTTTCTACATTCAGGGTTGCAATATTGCTTTTTTCTACTAACAACTCAACAAAATCAATCATCACACAATGGATCGGAAAAGGACAAAAGGATAAGTGGACAAACTCTAGGCGCGCTAAACTCAGAAAACGTTCGCTGTCACAGCTTGACAGGATAAAACTGAGTGAGTGTTAGGGGTCTATACAAAAATTTTGGATAATTAAAAGGGAGAAACACCGGCAGAGGAGGATCTATTGTACAAAACCATATAACACCCTTGAATGTATTCTTGAAATAACAAAAACAATCTGCAATCACACATGGATTCAAAAAAGACAAACGGTGAAATGGATAAACTCTAGAGGTTCTAGACACTTATGTTGAATCAACCTTCATTAAGACTGGCAAATTCATTGCTACAGTTAGAGAGGGGTGCTAGATTCAGAGAAGAGTTAGTTGGATAGTAGTATCCTGGACTATGTACCGGTCATTGGCATCTAAGAAAATATCTAGTACACATGGGTATATTCAATGGTGACCCCATTTGGGAGTTACGCAATGAGGAGGAGGAAAATGGCACCCATATCATCTTCGAATGTGAAGCAACCGCAATCATAACCCGCGATACAAAGAAAACCCAGGGAAACTAAAATTGTAGCAACAACAGTCAATGAGCAAGTACTCTTTAAAATAAGGATCGAATGGACAGACTAACAAGACGACGACCAGGACGAATTCGCCACTTTTTGTGAATAAGCTCTAGTTTACCCCCAAAAAATTTTGAAAGTTGAAAGTCTGTTTTTTATTATTTTTATTTCGCCGTTCTACTTACTCAAATCAACTATGTGAATACATCATTTTACAGAAATTTTTATGTAGATTGCAATAAAAATACATATCTAAGTTTATCAATAACACAAAAATTCCTAAAAACCAAATGTTTTTCAAGTAATCTAGGTCAAAACAATTTTTTTTCTCGTGAAACTAATATGAATTTTCGTTTTAGCACATCTAAAGACTCCTAAATATAAATTTTTGTTTGAATTTAAATTAATCAAATTTTTTGACCCGAATTATTCCGAGTTTTAAGAAGTAGTTCTCAGAATATCTGATTTAAATGGCTTTAATTCAAAAAGGGCTGAAGGGATTTTAACGTCAAACAAATTCTTTGAAAGAAGAGAAACTTAGGTCAATGTAGGTACCATAAAAATGTAAAAATATTTCTATAAGAAAATACATAAAATAAAAAAATATTTTGCCAGAAATTAACCCCGTTTAAAAAAATAAATAAATAAAATAAAAAATAAATAACATTCCGATTTTAATGTTAAAAACAGTTATAAAATGCACTTGACAATTGCTTTAAAATGAATTATCAACCGTGAACATCGGTTTCTAGGTTTTGAGAAAATTGATGTTAGAGATTGCACTAGAAATGTCAGTCAAAAAATACATTTACCAATTTCCGCGAAAGTCGGTATCGAAGGGTTTTATAACCCTAGAATCACGACAATGAGGTTAAATCCAAGTTTGACTATTTTCTGACCTAATTTGCCTACAGAATTTTTTTTAAATATGCAAAAAATCAGTATTTTGTTGATTTTTCTAATCAAATCATACCAGAATATTCCTCGTCATAGAACTTTTTTTTATATTCACCAACAATGAAATTAATACACCAAAAATACATTGGTACATACATTGTTAAAAAAGCTACGTTTCTGTTTTTTCAAATGGTATGTTTGACGTTAAAATCATTTTTGTATTATAGCAAACCCTAACAATTTTAGCCGTTAAAGTATTCATAAATTTAAATTCAGACAAAAGTTTATATTTACGGGGGTTTAGGGGTGCTAAAACGAAGTTGCATTTTAGTTTCACGAATATAGTTTTTATGGCCTCTTCTACTTGAAAAATTTGGGTTGTCAGAAAGTTTTTCCTTATTGATAAGATTTAATAGCTTTTAATATATTTTTTTTAGAATCATAAAAAATGCTGTAAAATGTAATATTTGTATAGTTGTAGTAAGTATAACGGCGAAATAAAAATATTTAATAACGTAAAATTTCAACTTTCACCATTTTTTTTTGGGGGGGGAGAAACCAGGGCCTATTCATAAGAAGTGGAGGATACGTGTCCGATATTTTTGAGTGTAGAATCACAAAAGAAAGTTTGATCCAAATCCGTTTGTCCCCTTGGAAGTAACTAGGAAATTACAATAAGTCATCAGCTGCAGTGCTTAGGGAACATAAATCCCCACGTCCAGGTCACCATTCATCATCACCACAATCAACANTATATATATACTTGGATGTCGTAAGTGCTTCGTCAGATTTGGTTGTTAAGGAAAAAATGACATTCTATATTTTATTGGTTGACGCATAATTTTTTTAAGGAAGTTTATTTTAATTTCAATTTAGGCAATATTCATGTACAGGTATATATTATATATTGAAACTTATTTCGATTTATTGCCAGTCCTGTCAGAGGTCGTTAACACAACACTGATTTGTTTAAATAATTTATTTACTGGTTTAACATTTTAATGGACAAATACATGGAATTTCTAATACATTATTCCATCTTTCGAAAAGCTCTAGTTTCTTATAAGTGTAATGACAGGAGTGACTTTTGAATAAATAATAATCGGCGACTGTTCCCATTAACGGACGGGTTGTTCGTCTCGTGTTAGAACTGTAGCAATTTGCCGAAGGCGGGACCGAAGAAAGCTGATCTACAGTTCCATTAGAGAGATATAGCTCCTGTCGTAATCGTCCGGGAGCCCTAAATTTATTTTGAACGCTGACCGTTGCCGGCCCATGTTAAAATGTCAATTTGTCTGTTGCAGATCCGGCACAGGTTCGGCTGCTACGACGAAATAACGGAAGTGGACCGGCGGAGGGTACGTCACTGCAATTGGGTCCGCTTCCTCAGAACCTCGACGACGTACTCGGACCAAGTCAATATCATAGGAACTAAAATTAAAGGTAAGCTTATGCAAATGGACCATCCGATGGGTACCCAGGTCGGGCAATAACAATAACAGTTTGCACTATCTTTTCGATATCATCTTCAGTCCGCTTGATTAGTACGAATATTCAACAGTGTGATAGCTTTTCAAGTGGATGTACCTCACCCATTGAATATTATAAAATTTCCCAACATCGGTTTAATCGTCGTGTGTTTAGAAATAAATTTTCCCTCGTAAAATTACTAGACATAATTTAACTGTTTTTGTTCAAATAATGCTTAGAAGTCTTAATATATGATCTAGCAATTTTTAAATGTTAGCTATTTATTTTGAATAATGGTTTATTACCACCTTATTTATTAAAAAATAAAATACTAGTTTCGACGCTCAATTGGTGGCAACCTTTTCAAGGGATTCGTTGAAGCTATAACGTATTATAATAAAAACATTTTTAAAAATCTAAATGTACATTCTATTACTTTTTTTTAAATTGCAATACTATATATTTTACACTTTAAACATTATTACGTTATTTTCTATTATTATTTGGAGATCGTGAGATGCGGTCTGGTGTGACGTAAGTTTTAGAAAAACATTTTCTTTATCGTGCCAACGTTTCGATCTTTATTGAGATCATCTTCAGGGCCTGGGATTTATAAACACTGTTTAAATTTTACAAATACATGTAGGATGTGGAAAAATGAATTTTTACAATACTAAACGTTATTTTCTTTTTTTTTAAATTAACTGTTCAATACATAAAACTGTTATAAAATTATTTATATCTTATATAACAGGTTATGTTTTTCCTAAATTTTTTTAAAACTTTTCTTTTTTCTTTATATCTACTGTACTTACATTAAATGTTTCTGTTAACTTGTATTTGTCTTTTTTTTTTGGTGTTCATTTTCTACCAATTCGTTACCAATACATACAATAAAACGAACACACAAAAAATCAGACAAAAAAGACAAATACAAGTTAACATAAACATTTAATGAAAATACAATAGATATACAGAAAAAATAAGTTTTTAAAAAATTTAGGAAAAACATAACCTGTTATATAAGATATAAATAATTTTATAACAGTTTTATGTATTGAACAGTTAATTTAAAAAAAAAAAGAAAATAACGTTGGATAACGTAAATAACACTTGGAAAGGATGCCACCAATCGAGCGAATTGGTCGAATCTAGTGCTGTATTTTATAATAAATAACGTGCTAATAAACCATTATTCAGAATAAATATTTGATAGAAACCTTAGCATAATTCAACAGTTTAAAAAAAATATAGAAAATAACGTAATAATGTTTAAAGTATAAAATTTATAGTATTGCAAGTTTTTAAAAACTTTTATTTTTTCTTTATATCTACTGTATTTATATTAAACGTTTCTGTTAACTTGTATTTGTCTTTTTTTGGTGTTCATTTTCTACCAATTCGTTACCAATACATATAATAAAATGAACACACAAAAATACAATAGATATACAGCCTCCCGGGCATGAGGGTAAACTGCGTCCACCCACATATTACACATCCCCCTACCTACACTTACACTGACATAAGTACACTAACAGTACACACCCTAGGGTTACCGTCCCTAGGAAGGTTCTTGAGACGAACTAAAAATCTCACGTCCTGGGATTGGCGACCCAGTACGTACATAACTCCGCCACACCTAACACTAGGTGGTGTGAGGGCGGGGGACATTGACGGTGTCTGGGCCTCCGTCAGCATGCCACCACTAATACACAGGCCGATGCACGCGGCCAAGGGCCTCGGAACCCGAATATAACAAACGCACATTACCGTGCACAAAACACAACAAATACAACATACAATTCTCTTCTGGAGGGGGGGATCTCCTGGTCTCTTTGGGTGTCCGTGAAACCTGCTCCTGTGAGGGTACCGGAGGAAAACTGGGTTACGGCACTCCCGGGCCGCGAGGTAGTACAGGGACCCGAACCCCGGACTAGCCACCGGGGAGGCTGTCCTATCACCTCGTGTATAATGTTGTGATGCCTAGTACTGCCAGCTGGCGACTGGATGGTTACCGTGCTGGGCATCGCGGCGGGCCCTCCTGAGGCCACACAGGGTGCGGGCAGATCGGAGAAGCACCCGAATGGGCCGGGGGATCACCTCCAAAGGCTGAGGATTGCACTCACATTGTACACATACAATCTTACAGACAAAACACAAAACTAATGACGATGAAAATGTTGAAGAAAATGGAACAAGGAGTAAAAGTGCCTACTCCGCCTAACCCGGGCCCGACCAGCCCAACAACACCCCCTCCCATCACAACACTCCCACCTCTCCCCAAGCCCTCTGCTTCCCAGGCCCATATCCCTCCACCCCTTGCACTCCCTTCAAACCCCCCACCACAACCATCCACTCCTCCTGCCATGATGGAGGATGACGGCTTCGTTCCCGTAGTTGGGAAAAGGAAAAGAGTCCCCAACAACTCACCTAAAGGGACTACAGAAAAGAAAGTTGAGAAACTAGTGCCTATGACTCCTGAGTCACCAGCACAGAAAAAGAGAAAAGAAGGTAACGTAGACAAAAAGGAAAGGAAAAAGAAATCGCGAAGTGCTGCCTTGTCGCTAGGTCTCGGCATAATGGGGATTACACCCCTCTCTGAGACGTACCAAACAAGATATTACAACGTAGCAAGGAAAGAGGGAGACTTCAAGTCCACATGCCCTTTCCTTCTGCACAAGGAAATAAAAAAGACCGTAGGAGTTNAAAAAAAAAAAAAAAAAAAAAAAAAAAAAAAAAAAAAAAAAAAAAAAAAAAAAAAAAAAAAAAAAAAAAAAAAAAAAAAAAAAAAAAAAAAAAAAAAAAAAAAAAAAAAAAAAAAAAAAAAAAAAAAAAAAAAAAAAAAAAAAAAAAAAAAAAAAAAAAAAAAAAAAAAAAAAAAAAAAAAAAAAAAAAAAAAAAAAAAAAAAAAAAAAAAAAAAAAAAAAAAAAAAAAAAAAAAAAAAAAAAAAAAAAAAAAAAAAAAAAAAAAAAAAAAAAAAAAAAAAAAAAAAAAAAAAAAAAAAAAAAAAAAAAAAAAAAAAAAAAAAAAAAAAAAAAAAAAAAAAAAAAAAAAAAAAAAAAAAAAAAAAAAAAAAAAAAAAAAAAAAAAAAAAAAAAAAAAAAAAAAAAAAAAAAAAAAAAAAAAAAAAAAAAAAAAAAAAAAAAAAAAAAAAAAAAAAAAAAAAAAAAAAAAAAAAAAAAAAAAAAAAAAAAAAAAAAAAAAAAAAAAAAAAAAAAAAAAAAAAAAAAAAAAAAAAAAAAAAAAAAAAAAAAAAAAAAAAAAAAAAAAAAAAAAAAAAAAAAAAAAAAAAAAAAAAAAAAAAAAAAAAAAAAAAAAAAAAAAAAAAAAAAAAAAAAAAAAAAAAAAAAAAAAAAAAAAAAAAAAAAAAAAAAAAAAAAAAAAAAAAAAAAAAAAAAAAAAAAAAAAAAAAAAAAAAAAAAAAAAAAAAAAAAAAAAAAAAAAAAAAAAAAAAAAAAAAAAAAAAAAAAAAAAAAAAAAAAAAAAAAAAAAAAAAAAAAAAAAAAAAAAAAAAAAAAAAAAAAAAAAAAAAAAAAAAAAAAAAAAAAAAAAAAAAAAAAAAAAAAAAAAAAAAAAAAAAAAAAAAAAAAAAAAAAAAAAAAAAAAAAAAAAAAAAAAAAAAAAAAAAAAAAAAAAAAAAAAAAAAAAAAAAAAAAAAAAAAAAAAAAAAAAAAAAAAAAAAAAAAAAAAAAAAAAAAAAAAAAAAAAAAAAAAAAAAAAAAAAAAAAAAATAGATATACAGAAAACATAAGTTTTTAAAAAATTTAGAAAAACATAACCTGTTATATAAGATATAAGTAATTTTGTAATAGTTTTATGTGTTGAACATTTTAAAAAAATTATAGAAAATAACGTAATAGTTTAAATATAAAATTTATAGTATTGCCATTTTTTTAAAATGTAACAGAATGTATATTTAGATTTTTTAAAAATGGTTTTATTGACTGGCTGATGTACGTTCGTACGTACAGGTCGAAAACCAGGCAGTGACTCGCTGAAGGCAGCTGCTGTACGTACGTACAGGTTGAAACCAGGGAGCGACCCACTGTTTTTACGACGTCTTGCTGAAAATGACCTACTTCTCCCTCCAGCGTCTTGATTTTTACAAATTTTCTGTTTTCATAATTTTTTGAAATGCTAAATTTAGGATTATAAATGATAAGATTTCTTATTAACTATTATACATAAAAATGTTTACATTGGCGTAAACAATAATAGGTTATAGCTTAACAAAACACTTGGAAAGGATGCCACCAATCGAGCGAATTGGTCGAATCTAGTGCTGTATTTTATAATAAATAACGTGCTAATAAACCATTATTCAGAATAAATATTTGATAGAAACCTTAGCATAATTCAACAGTTTAAAAAAAATATAGAAAATAACGTAATAATGTTTAAAGTATAAAATTTATAGTATTGCAAGTTTTTAAAAACTTTTATTTTTTCTTTATATCTACTGTATTTATATTAAACGTTTCTGTTAACTTGTATTTGTCTTTTTTTGGTGTTCATTTTCTACCAATTCGTTACCAATACATATAATAAAATGAACACACAAAAATACAATAGATATACAGCCTCCCGGGCATGAGGGTAAACTGCGTCCACCCACATATTACACATCCCCCTACCTACACTTACACTGACATAAGTACACTAACAGTACACACCCTAGGGTTACCGTCCCTAGGAAGGTTCTTGAGACGAACTAAAAATCTCACGTCCTGGGATTGGCGACCCAGTACGTACATAACTCCGCCACACCTAACACTAGGTGGTGTGAGGGCGGGGGACATTGACGGTGTCTGGGCCTCCGTCAGCATGCCACCACTAATACACAGGCCGATGCACGCGGCCAAGGGCCTCGGAACCCGAATATAACAAACGCACATTACCGTGCACAAAACACAACAAATACAACATACAATTCTCTTCTGGAGGGGGGGATCTCCTGGTCTCTTTGGGTGTCCGTGAAACCTGCTCCTGTGAGGGTACCGGAGGAAAACTGGGTTACGGCACTCCCGGGCCGCGAGGTAGTACAGGGACCCGAACCCCGGACTAGCCACCGGGGAGGCTGTCCTATCACCTCGTGTATAATGTTGTGATGCCTAGTACTGCCAGCTGGCGACTGGATGGTTACCGTGCTGGGCATCGCGGCGGGCCCTCCTGAGGCCACACAGGGTGCGGGCAGATCGGAGAAGCACCCGAATGGGCCGGGGGATCACCTCCAAAGGCTGAGGATTGCACTCACATTGTACACATACAATCTTACAGACAAAACACAAAACTAATGACGATGAAAATGTTGAAGAAAATGGAACAAGGAGTAAAAGTGCCTACTCCGCCTAACCCGGGCCCGACCAGCCCAACAACACCCCCTCCCATCACAACACTCCCACCTCTCCCCAAGCCCTCTGCTTCCCAGGCCCATATCCCTCCACCCCTTGCACTCCCTTCAAACCCCCCACCACAACCATCCACTCCTCCTGCCATGATGGAGGATGACGGCTTCGTTCCCGTAGTTGGGAAAAGGAAAAGAGTCCCCAACAACTCACCTAAAGGGACTACAGAAAAGAAAGTTGAGAAACTAGTGCCTATGACTCCTGAGTCACCAGCACAGAAAAAGAGAAAAGAAGGTAACGTAGACAAAAAGGAAAGGAAAAAGAAATCGCGAAGTGCTGCCTTGTCGCTAGGTCTCGGCATAATGGGGATTACACCCCTCTCTGAGACGTACCAAACAAGATATTACAACGTAGCAAGGAAAGAGGGAGACTTCAAGTCCACATGCCCTTTCCTTCTGCACAAGGAAATAAAAAAGACCGTAGGAGTTACAAACTCCATCACAAAGAGCAGAGAGGGCAAGATATGCATTGGTATAGCAGGAAAAGAAACCGAAGAAAGACTATTGTCATTAAAGACGCTTGCTGGCCATGAGGTCGAGGTTGCCCCTCACCAAAGGCTGAACACCTCCAGAGGGGTGGTAGTATGCCGTGACCTCATGAACAGCAGCGTCCATGATATTCAAGAAGGCCTTGAGGACCAGGGTGTGATGGAGGTGAGGAGAATGAACACTCGCCGGAACGGACAAATTATCCCGTCGGCGAGTCTAATCCTCACATTCGACAAGCCAAGGTGCCCAGATGAAATAAGGGCGGCTTTCTACAAATTGAAAGTCCGTCCTTACATCCCACCTCCGCAAAGGTGCTACCGTTGCCAGAAGTTTGGCCATATTTCCCTGCGGTGTAAGTCCCCGCAGGAAGTGTGTGAGTGTGGGAGGGAAGCCCATCCGAATGAATCTAAATGCGCCGACCCTCCCACTTGCGTGAACTGCGGGGGATGCCATACGGCTCGATCCGCCAGCTGCCCTGTTCTCTCCAAAGAACGAGAAATACAAAAACTCAAAATAATAGACAAAATGAGCTTTCGAGAGGCCAGGGCAGTAGTCGAAAATAGGGGCACTGCGGGGACCTACGCCCAAGCTGCGGCTCGTCCCGCTCCTGGGCTGAGGGTCCCGGAGCAAACCCTTGCGGCTGCTCCTCCAAAAGGAGTAGTCGCCAAAGCCCCCCCAATGATGGCGGGGGTAATAGAAAGGGTGGCTGATGCCACCCTCTCCCAGAAGAGGATGGCAACATCCTCTTCCCAAACGTCTCCGGCACGGGGAATCGCGGCTAGCCATGAAAAGCAGCCCGACAAGCCGGGGACGAAAATGGCCCCACCAAAGCTGCCGCCACCCTCGGCGGTAGCCTCAACATCAGCAGGCCCGTCACGCCTTAATTGGGTGACGGATATAGAAATGACGTCTGGGTCGGAAACATCATCGGCTGGCCCTGATCCTCCTGCTCGGAGGA